CGACGCTAAAGGCAATATCGAACGATTTAAGGCTAGACTTTGGCCAAAGGTTTCAGTCAAAAGGAAGGTATCGATTACAGCGATACTTTTTCCCCTGTTTCTAAGAAGGATTCACTTAGAATCATCATGGCACTTGTAGCTCATTTTGATTTGGAGTTACATCAAATGGATGTGAAACTGCTTTTTTAAATGGGAATTTGGATGAGGATATCTATATGATACAACCTGAAGGGTTCACAAGTAAGGACATTGCACATCTAGTTTGTAAATTAAAGTAATCCATTTATGGTCTTAAACAAGCTTCCCGACAATGGTATATTAAGTTTAACGATACCATTACATCTTTTGGATTTAAGGAAAACATTGTTGACCAATGTATATACTTTAAGATTAGTGGGAGCAAGTTTATATTTTTGATACTATATGTGGATGATATTTTGCTATCTAGTAGTGATCTTGGTTTGTTACGTGAAACCAAGGAATATCTTTCTAAAAACTTTTCGATGGTTGATATGGGTGAGGCAAAGTATGTTATTGGGATCGAGATATTTAGGGATCAATCTCGAGGATTGCTAGGTTTGTCTCAGTAGGATATATTGACCGAGTTGTAGAAAGATATGACATTCAGTCTTGTTAAAAAGGTATTGCACCTATTGTTAAAGGTGACAAATTAAGTAAATTGATGTGCCCAAAGAATGAAATGGAAAGGGAACATATGAGGAAAATTTCTTACGCATCGGCAGACGGCAGTTGGGAGTTTGATGTATGCTCAAACATGCAATAGACCTGACATTAGTTTTGCTATTGGGATGTTAGGAAGATACCAAAGTGATCCAGGATTTGAACACTAGAAAGCTGCAAAGAAAGTTATGAGGTATCTTCAAGGAACTAAGGATTACATGCTCACATATAAAAGGTCACAAGCATTAGAGGTTGTTGAATATTTGGATTCCAATTATCGTGGTTGTTTCGATAGGATGCAATCAACATCAGGGTTTGTTTTTATGCTAGAAAATGGGGCAATCTCATGGCAAAGTAAGAAGCAATCCATTATTGCTTCTGCCACAATGGAAGCCGAATTTATTGCTTGTTTTGAAGCCTCAAATCATACATTATGGCTACAAAAATTTATTTTCAGGGCTTGGTGTTGTCAACTCTATTGCCAAGCTGTTGAAAATATTTTGTGATAACACCGCAGCTGTATTCTTCTCGAAGAATGGTAAATTTTCGAGTGGGTCGAAGGCCATGGATTTAAAGTACTTGGTCATTAGAGAAAGAGTAAATAAACAACAAGTGTCAATTGAAAATATAAGTACACATTTATGATAGCCGATCCACTCACTAAAGGATTATCACGAAAGGCATACTTAGAACATGTTATAAGGATGGGCCTTTTGGGAAATCCATAAATGTATATTGATAGTGGTACTAATTGACATTTTGCGCAATTAAAGTTTGTTTTTGCTTATTCTTGTTATTGTATACATTATGTTATGTAAAAACAAGAATTGTCCTGACGAGACGAATTACAGGGGCCATTATAGTATTAAAAATTGAATTAGTATGGATTATTAGTATGTAGTACATGGAAGGAAGTGTGGAGTTATTTTTTGTTGTTGCATAACCACCATGACTTGTGCTAATCATTTGTGCTAACTTCAATATTATGGTAATTATATTTGTTTTTTGAGCATGTTGGATATGTATTATTGTAATCGTGATTACGTGTTAAAGATTTTTAAAATATGTCTTTATATATTACATATGTTTTATATTTATATATAATGTAAGTTTTTTCATAATCGATTTAGCGGGCCAAGTGGGTGAATGTAAATTCCACATTACGTGTCAAGTAGGTGACCCGCTTAATCTATTGTTTTAATTAATTAAATGTCACTATTTAAGTTAATACATATATCCAATTACAGAAATGCTCATATTAAATCAATACTGTATAAAAGATAAGTGTCCTTTGATGGATTGGTTTACTTAACTTATTAATGATTTAATTATAAATAATTAATAAAAGATAACATTTATTGATATAAAAGATAGTTGGTTTTATCCGACTAAAATCGGGCCCTCTGCTCTCCTCTATTAAGGACAATTGGACTACATATAAAGAATATATATATATAGAGGTTATGTTTTTTCAAATAGTAGACTGTTTTTACATTTTCCATCATTAAGAGCTAATAAAAAAATCAAGTATTAAAGTTAGTGAGACAGGAGAAGGGTTTGGTATTGTTCTTCTTCCCCATCAAGATTCATCCAACCAAAGGTACAATCATGGCTTTAAGCTCATCAAATGGTATGTAATGTATCAATTGATTCTAGGCTTAAGTTTTATTTCCGCATTAAATTTTTTAAGTATTTCTTACAACACAATCTCGGGTCGATATATAAATTCTACCGTGAAATGTGTGTATACATGTTATTACCAAACAAATGAAACAAAATCTTTAGGAATTCATTCATTCCAGCCAATTATAAAAGATAGATGTGTTATCATACACATTAAGTGACATACATTAGCTTTAGGTTACATAACAAGAATTATGAACTAAGTAATTGTTGGGATATGCCAGGCCCGTGTAGTAGTGCGACACATGGGCGACGCTTGAAGATCCTAGTAGCAAGCTACTATGGTGGATTTTCCCCCTTAAATAAATTTAATATCGTTGTGAGCCATTAGCACACGTATCAGATATAAACTGATAAGAATAGATACTACACTAGATCTTAGCCAAAAGAACGAGAAAGGTATGATTTGTCTAGTCTCAACTCCTGCCATTTATTTCCTAAGTTGTCGTACCCTTTTCGTTATTTCTCAATGTGGTATAGCAACAACAATCCTTATTTAAGGGGGGTTGATCACAACAAACTTCTGAAACAAATATCATTATTTTAATCAGAGAGAAATAGTGTATTAACAACACAGCTAGAGGTCCTGGAATCTAACGAATTTGGTTGACAAAAGGAGAAAGACTTAACACACATGCATACTCTTATATACGGGCGTGGCTTTGTGGATGTAAAACTTTTTAGACTTCCATCTTAATGTCTTGAACAAAATGGAGAAATATTTATCAAACATACATAAATAACATTTAGGTGTAACAAGGCATACATTTTGACCACCCGAGATTTAATCTCAACAAGGCTTGCTTGTCCTGGATTTTTGTTGTTTGAATTTGGTCTTGTGAAATATACAACATGTAAAAAATAAATAAAAAAAAATTAAATGGATGAATCCTGAGCAGAAATTATCAGTATTCTTCAATTTAGTTGTTATAATACCCCTTTTCTCGGACAATAATCTCACAAATTTGTCACAATAGACTTTAAAATTTGAAACCAACATAGATTGTTAGGGAATTCAGACAACAAACTAGAGAAGTCAGCATAACCATAAATTAATGCAGATTTATTTACATACTATTAAACTCCAAAACTCAAAAATGAATAATAATCCACCACACACCATTACGGACTCAGCTTAGGGATACCATTATCCAACAAATAACAAGAGCAGTTACAAGAATTGTGAAATTGAAGGTAACGACGACCCATTTTAATTAAAGACAACACTAGTTTAACCCGTCATAGTTTAAAGTATAGATTATGATCCTATGATAGTATGACAATAGCTAAAGAGAATGTCAGTTTAATGTGGCAAACAAGACAACATTTTGAGTTGTATGACCAATTTATGATTCAGAAATTTCACCATATACCACTGAGTTATAACTTAATTCACCATATACCACCAAAAACTTTCTAATTCACCATGTACCACTCAGTTCCTGTACATTACCACAAAATGCCTTTTTTGGTAACTGCCGGTAGTCCGCCGTTTGGGGTAATTTACTAATTCAGCATATACCATTAATTTAAAAGTTATTTCACCAAATACCATTAAGTATAAAGTTATGTCACCAGATACCTAGAATTTGCAACGGCTATTTTATTAAAAAAAAAAAAAAAACTTGCCGCTGAACAATTATAATGGCTAGTTTATGTATATAAAAGTAGTACTTGAGGGATTGGAGTAGCAATTCACACTTCTAAAAACAATTGCAAAGATGTCCACTCACTCGAAATCATCATTGTCATCTTACGATTCTTTGTAAGTAAGAGTGCCAAACAAAGCTTGTTGTTGTGGTAGGAGGTTTGCAATAAGGAGCTCTGATTCGGCAAAAAATCCACAAAGGTTGTACTATAAGTGTGATGTATGGAGACTTTCAGATCGTCCAAGGGTAATGCCGAGCAAAATGTCCTTTCAGGTTATAAATATCAAAGCAGGGGAGGGATAGACACACAATGCCATAGAGGTGAAAGCTTGTTGAAGCAAGAATTGAAGGAGCTCAAGAGAAAAGTAGCAGAGCAGCAAAAAATAGTTGATGCAGCAATTAAAATAGGAGTAGTTATGTTTATGGTGATTGTATTTGTAGCCTTGAAATAATTTATGTAAACAAAATATCATTGCTAAAAGAAATTTGCATTTCTAGCTATTACATAGCTTGCGATGTCAAAATATTATGGCTACATAAATGTATAATATTTGTATTACATATCGTGGAAATGTCAAAAACATGTTTATGCCAAAACAAACTAAGTACTTAACACTTAAGTTTCAAAAGTTTTCACCAAAAACTTACACATCATGCATGGCAGCTTCATGGATGTCAACTATCAGCCATTCTCTTCTTCCCCCTTCCTTTGCCTTGTTGTGAAGTGCTCGCTGCATTTTTCGCCTTTTCTGTAGCTGCCTTTCTTGCATTGCAGTTTAAGGCATTGTGTCCCAGTTCTTTGTAAAGACTGCACTTGTTGTTCTTGTGCCTCTTTCCTCTCCTTGGTACATGAGGGGCTCTTCTACTCTGCTTAGCTGGTCTGCCTGCACTTCTTTTGACAGTTGGTGGTGCTATTTCTGGCACATCAAGTGCTGGTCAGTGAGTTGGGTCAGCCATGGGATGGATGTGGTCTGCATATGTCAGCTTCTATGCAGCCCCCTTGAAGTATGTTGACATAAAATCCCTCGGTTCAAGTCTTTGGCTGTAAATGACCCTTAGACCATGCTTGCATGGTATCCCTGATCCTTGCCATTTCCCACACCCATAGCTCATATTCCCTAGTGTGACAGGGAACTTAACATGGCCATCCCTGACTTTAAACTCTCCACCTCCACAGGCTGTTACATGGGAGAACCTAGACTCATCACTCCTTGTCATGTCAATTGCTTTATCAAACCTAGCACCTATCCTTTTCATGCGCCAATTTCTTACAGCTGATTAAGTCCAAAATTAAAAAACACACACACACACACAACAAACATACCACAAATAATACCAGAACAGTGTATTATGCCAAAACAACCATTTGCATGCATTAAAGTAAAAAACTTAAGCACAAGATATTACTTTCCAATAATGTCAGGACAGGCATATCTCTGATGGGCTTTGTGCATGCATTGAATGACTCAACAAAGTTTGTTGTGTTATGATCACAACAAACTATTCTATCAAACTTGTGCACACTCCATTGCTCTTCCACAGCTCTAAGATATTGTTCTGCTGCTACATCATACTCCTTAATCTTAGACATTGCTTTTTCATACACTTATTCATTATATGCATTTGCTATAATCCAAAAGAGCTTATGAAAAGTTGTCCTACTCCATCTTGTAGTCTTGCAGTTTGAGTACAAATGTTGGTAGCAAACTCTCCTAGTTGCTCTTAGGAACACCTCAAACAGAGCTGACTCAACACCCTTAAAAAACCATGGCAAAGTAAGTTAGTGGTGTAATGATAACAAATACATAATCACATAAATGAAATACCTTACCCTTATCCTATCACTGATGAATGTCCAGTCATCCTTCTGACATCCATATTAGGCAAATAAGCACCTAAGGTTTCTGAAGAAATAAGTTCAGCTATCTATGCTCTCTGTGTCAACAAGACCATAGGCTATAACAAAAATTTCACTATTCCCATCAATTGCAACTATAGTAAACATAATCCCTTTGTAATAGCCACTGAGATGTGCACCATCTATTCTTATGATAGGTCTGTAGCCACCCAATAATCCTTTCACCTGAGCTGCAAAAGATATGAAACAAGCCTTGAATTTTAAGCCCTGATCCCCATTGTCAGTCCATGTAATAAGAGCATATGACCTAGGATTTGTGGCCTTAATCATCTCTGCATAATTTGGTAGTAGTGCATAAGACTGAGCAAAGCCACCATGTATTTGCTCTCTGGCTAAAGCCTTCACTTTGTTGAATAATCTTAGCTTGACATCGATCCTGTATCTTTCAATGCACATTCGTTGCAATGATTTAACTGGAATCTCTAGGTTTGCCTCCAAGTCTTGTAACAAATGTCTGCAAAGCCATGCTGAAGAGACCATAGGATTCTCTTCAAGCCTCCCATAAGTTCTATGTTCTCCTTCTAGCTTCTTTATAGCCCAGCTGACTTTATCAATAAGGACTGCTACATGAATCCTCCAGTTGCAATCACTAATCAAACACCTTGCTGTGTATCTTTGGTTGTCAGTATAGTCAACTGACACTACAAACCCTTCTTGTATGCAGTAGTCTCTGAACAACTCAAAAAATTGTGTTTTGGTTTAAAAAATTTACCATGGTTCAAGTTGAATGGACCCAAATGGTAAGTGAAACCAGACTTTGCCATTTTTGTACAGTTTGTCTAAAACATGGGACCCATCTAAGTAATCTTCAAAGGTTTTCTTAGGGATATTATTAGCAAGTTTTTCTTCTTCCATAATGTAGTCATCTTCAATGTTCAAGTCCATATCTAGATCATCCTCAACATCAGAAGCTTCATAATCATGATCTTCACTTTCATCAGAAGGTCATGGATCAGATTCATCATCACTTTCCTCAACAGGCATTGGTTTTTTGCTCCTTATATTCACTTACCTCCCTGCTCCTTTTTTTACCTAACCACAACACTATACCTATTTGTTGTGCTTCTGGGCACCCTTCACTCTTTGGGTTTAATTCTAGTTTGTTCTTTAACTTTACCAGCAGAACTAGAAGAGGCCCTAGTTTGCCTAGATGGTGGTGGTGGTGGTGGTGTAGGCTACTTGGGTTGGGGGGTGATCTCTGTATGTGTGGATTGTTTGGAGAATCATGATGTGTTGGTGTTAGTGGTGGAGAAGGATGCTGGTTTTCATTAAGTGGTGGAGGTGTGGGCTATCTTGGTTGACTGGACTGTGTAGGCTGGCTGGGTTGAGTGGGCTATGTAGGTTGGGTTTTTTTTCTTTTTTGGAGTTAGTTTTTTCCTTCTTGGAGTTTTCTTTGGTGGTGTTGGTGTCTTATTTTTTTTTCATTTGTGGAATGTTGTGTGGGTTGAGATGATTGTTTTTGTGAGGGTTGAGGTTGAGATTTCCCTGGAAATACCTCATCAGCTACTGGGGTGTTAAATACCCTAACATATTTAACCTCAACATTCTCAGCATTCACAACTGGGACCTCAACAACCACAATAAATTGCTGCTGGGCCTCAAGTTGCTCCTCACCTTCTGTTGCCTCTGCCATTCTCCTATTCTCTTCCTCTCTATGCTTACTTTGTTCAGCCCGATCCTTCAACCTTTTTGCCCAACTCGCTTCAGCTAACTGAAACACAAGACATGGTGATTTTGTCTCCTCTGTGAACACTTCAATTTCGTCCTTCCCTTCATTCCACTCCCACTTTTTCAACATTGCCCCATCATTAACCAACTCCAACTTACGATTAGTTCTAGGTTTACTGACAATCAAGGTGAAGTATTTAGGGAGGAAAACATTCTGCTTCATTGAATCCTCAAACATTTACTCAAACAACTCCATCAAATTGGTCTTATCATTGTCATCCACCATAACATCAAAAGAGCCACTTCTAGAATGAACTAACAACCACAGTGCACTCATCCTAAGAATGAATTACAAATAACAACATTTAACATCACAATCCAAACAACAATTCGCATGCATGACATCAAACACTACTAGAAAACAACCGTTTTTTTACGGATAAAATCCGTCAAAATCAATTGAAATTCCGTCGGAATGGTCTGTTGTGAAAATTTTTGTAGGAAATTCGACTTTTTCCGAGGGATTTTCCTTCGAAAAAACAAATTCTGACGGAATTTCCGACGGAATGAGATATGTCGGCGCATGGATTGACTTAAATTGAGAATTCGTAGCAATATTCCGACGAAATTAATTCCGTCAGTATATACATCTTCTGACAGGATAATCCGTCGTAATCCATTACATTTTCGACGGAAATATTCCGTCGTAAGGGATCTGTAATTTCGAGGGTTTAAATTTCCGTTGGAATCTTACGATACTTATTTCCGTCGCACAGTTTCGACGGATTTATTTTGCCTTGAAAAATATATGATTTCCGACGGAATTGTCCATCTGAAAATCCGTCGCCATATTCCGATGGATTTTTTTTCCGTCGTAACGAAAGGAACTTCCGACGGATAGTAGCATCAGAAAATCCGTCGGAATTTCACCTGCTAATTTAACAAATTAATCGATTTTTTTGGGAATTACCACCATTCGAAACCTATACCTCCAGCACCTAATTCAAGATAAAATTAAATAAATGATTTAATTATGAATATATATATATATATATATATATATATATATATATATGCAGGCATAAAACATAATCCAAATTAAGTACATGTACATACTACATAAACAAAAGCTAAGCTATAGCCGAGGTACCCTCTCTTGCTCCGCCACTACTCGGGGCGTCCTTGGGGTCTCGACTCTGAGGTTGAATGGTGGAACATGTGTCGCTGGGGAAAGCACGCATAAAATCATCCTACTTCTCCTGGTTTCTCCTCTCTATTGCGGCCATTTGGGCTTGAAATCGGGCTTCTATCTCGACTTTTTATTCACTCCGGATTTCACTGCGAAGAGCCTGCACCCTATGCTCCATCTGATCCTGCATATGAGAAACAAAAAAAGGAGTGTACTACTGTGAAGACGTGGAAACTCGACCCATCCTGTTGCCATAGTACAACTCTGCACTTTGGCCAAGTCCCTTCACACGACCCTTCTTGTTGCGACCACCCACAGTCTCCCAATACAACTCATTCGGACTCTTCCAAATCCCTTGAGTGCTTGCTTCTTCAACCTTCTTTTGGTAGGCCTCCTATAAGATATACATATGAAAAGGAGAAACTTACTAAGCTTAAGGAAGCATTTTCAACAAAATAGAACCAAGTAAGGCCTAATTGACTTCTACTTCGCCCATTTTCTTCATTTTTTTCAAATGAACTCTTTCTTTCTCATAACATGTCAATAATAGGTAGTTTTAGGTGTATAGGGCTTGAAATCACAAAAAAAAAACCAATTAACTAAGTTTTAAGAACCATTTTCATCCAAATTCATCCAAATATGGCCTAAATGACTTATACTTTGCCCATTTTCTTCATTTCTTACCAAATGAACTCTTTCTTTCTCATAAAATATCAATAACAGGTAGTTTTAGGTGTATAGGGCTTGAAATCACAAAAAAAAACAAGTTAACTAAGTTTTAAGAACCATTTCCATCCAAATTCAACCAAATATGGCCTAAATGACTTCTACTTTGCCCATTTTCTTCATTTCTTACCAAATGAACTCTTTATTTCTCATAACATGTCAATAACAGGTAGTTTTAGGTGTATAGGGCTTGAAATCACAAAAAAAAAACTAGTTAACCAAGTTTTAAGAACCATTTTCATCCAAATTCAACCAATTATGGCCTAAATGACTTCTACTTTGCCCCATTTTCATGTAATCAATCAAATAAGTTTAGATTCTAAGTTATCTTGAAGTTGTTACAGCAATTTGCTTTGCTTTGTTGTTGGCTGGCACTGTCCCTTCCCCCGACACATCCTTGAAGTGCCTCTTCAGAAAAAGCTCAAGAGATGTTGGTAACTGGCCTTGATTCTTCGTCGCCTTTGATAATACATGCATAAAATCATCGTTATAAATGTCTCACCACCATTACATAGTAATACACAAATGTCTTCTATTTTACTTGCCTATTAAACAAACTTACCATCCTTTTTGCATGTTGTATAGCTGACATAGAACCCTAATGGTGGGTTGGTTCAACCACAATTTCCAGGGAACCACTCCTTTTGTTCTTGCTATTTTGGGCCGACCGCTTCTTATACGTCGGATCTGTGGCAACAATATCCATCATCTTCTTGTGGACTTCCTCATTGAGCCAGCCTAGCTTGGCGCCATTCATCTTGTATGTGACTGTGTAGAACATGTCATGTAGGCGAGTTGCAACCTTCCTTTCAAAAGTTTGCTTCACATGCTCGTTCAGTTGATGTGCCCATGTGAATTGTTTCTGCGAATGATAAACTTTAAAAGTTATAAAATCAACTCCATCAATACACTTAATAAAACATGTATTAACTAAGTTAAAAATAGCATACGCTGAAAAAGTTCCACCAGTGTTGTTTCGTTCCTTGATCAACCTCTCCATAATTCCTCCAAGGGTCTCGATAGTATCCAATTAGCGTACCGGAGACCACACTCCTCACCTTGTTATCATCAAACCTACATTAAACGAGAA